AATACGGTATGTTTACTTAGAAATAAGTCAAAGTCTGTGCAATGGGTTTTACTTCCTGTGCGTGAATTTAAGACTGAAGCCTTAGCGTTTGTTAAGAAAGCTGCTTACATGATTTGAGTCCTGAAATATTTCCCATATCTTTTTCTGACATAGGCCCTGGAACTGCTAACAAGCTGCTACATCATGGTTCAGGGAAATACTGTTTCAGCTCTTGGACCTTTTAATGGCTTAAAAGAGGTAAGATCTCTTTTCCACAGGAAATAATGTTTTAGAATAATGTTAATTATACCTTATTTAAATGTTCAGTTTTTGTTCAAGGAATTCACTTTGTTATTACATTGTTGGTCGCTGGCATAGAACTTTTATTGTGCAGCTAAGTTCTGTGGTCCTTTTGTACAGGGCAAGTCCTTTAAAAGATGCCCCGTGGATACAGAGTACACATGTTCCACGGGGCCTCTTTAAAAGGCTCACCCTGTATTCGACAAAAAGTGCTTTAAGCACCAAGTATTTGCATCCATGCAAGCTGCAAAGTAGTGGAAGTGCACTAGGACAAGTGGAAAACATGATGACAAAGTTTTTGCTACACACGAATTTCCTTACATGGGTGCAGTATTGCTTCAGGGTACAAGTACCAAAAATCTTACTATTGCTTAAACCAGGCTTCCTCAACCTCGGCCCTCCAGATGTTTTTGGCCTAAAATTCCCAAGATCCCTAGCTACCAGGACCAGTGGTCAGGGATGATGGGAATTGTAGTCTCAAAACATCTGGAAGGCCGTGGTTGAGGAAGCCTGGCTTAAATTGTCCATAGCATGCAAGCTTTTGTGTAAACTAAAGGATCAGTTTGTCAGTCTGCTTCTTCCGAAACTTAGTGAATGGTTCTGAAAAGATCAATTAAATATAAGACTAATTAAATAAACATTGCTTATTGAAATAGGCTTGTTCTTAGTATTAGCTTTTAAAATACAGTGGTTTATAAATTAAGCAGTTTAGCCATTAAAACTACTACTCCATTGGCATTCTTTTTAAAAAATCTAGGTTAGGAAAGTTGTTCTTGATACAATGAAGAATATTCATCCCATATACAACATCAAGGTAAGTACAATTTTCTTTATTGTATAAAATATATTTATCATTCTTTCCTCTTTATTCTAACAATTTTAATTTGAGGTGCTTTTAAACATCCTCCTATAACAAAATTCTTTTATCATTGGTCATATTGAAAATCATGAAAAGAACATGGCATAATTAGGCTTGATTACTTAGTTTATAAATCTGATCATTCTCCCATTTGATACCTTAAGTTATCTGCTATAATTAAATTATGTTGTGTTTTTATCTACTCTAACCTCGCTTTCCCTGTGTCTCTTAATGTATTTTTTTTAAATGGAGCAGAGCAAATATTATGTTCTAATTTGTTGTTGTTTTAATGTGATTGAAGACTCTGATGATTAAAAGGGAATTGTCAAAAGACCCCGAATTAAGATTGCAGAACTGGGAACGGTTTTTGCCTAAATTCAAACACAAGAATTTAAACAAACGGAAAGAACCACAGAAGAAAAATGTCAAGAAGGAATATACTCCCTTCCCACCTCCACAACCAGAGAGTCAGGTCTGTTATATCTCACTTGAATTTTACTGCAGAACATTGATGAGTTTGAATTAAATTGATTGCACGTCAAGGAATCCAAATATACATTTAAAAGGGAATTTGCTTGCCTTTCTGTCCCAACAAAGGAAATCTCAAGGCAGTGGCAAAGAAGAATTAATATTCAGAAGAGTAGAATGCTATCTACAATCTATATAAAAGTGTTGCAGTCCTAACACTTGACAGAGCTGTGCAGTGTTCACAGCATCTAGAGCTCCACTGCTTGTGCCAGCCAGTGGCTTGAAAAAGTCTATATGTTTCCTGTGCCAGCTCTAGGTTGTCACAGCAAACCAGCCTAAATGAAGCCCCTTGCTATAGTTTGCTGGAAGCTGAAGCAGCTTAGGAACCAGGGCTGCTTCTTGCTGACAGAGGCAGACATAACTCTTCTGCTTCACTCAAGACCACCTCTAGTTTGGTGGATCAGGGGTTTGGATTGCTCTGTAAAGCAGTTGACAATTTCCTACCAGAACGATAGCAAATGTATACAGGCTGTTTTGAATTTATTTTGTTTCACTTAGGTGTGAGTGAAAATTATGCTGGCTTTAGGGTGGGGAGTTGAGAAAGGAAAACAGGGCTTCTGCATTCTTAATAGTCATGTAATGGGAAATTTCAGCAGGGGTTGCTTACATGTTAACCCCCTGCTGAAATTTCCATGGTCACTGTTGATGGGTTTAGTGAGTTGTTGTGTTTAATAAATGTTTCCTCATACGTACAAATGACTCCACAATTGCATATTTATTTGGTGTTGATGATTAAATATTATTTAGTATTATTTATAAAGACATTTTAGTTTTTACTTATTTGCTACCATTCAGTTTTAAAACTCACAGGGCCATTCATATAAAATTATTTGCCATCCAAAAGAAATTTTGCTGATTGCTTCACTCAGAAGTCCCATTAAGTGGATTTTATTCATAGTACTGTACAGTATATGGGTATTAGAACTGCAGTCTAAGTTATGGTAGTACTTAATCCATTTATGATCCTTTGTGTACTATGTGCTCATACATAAAACCTTGGTTAAACACTGCCAATTTTGTAGAATTTGCTGGAGCTTCATTTCAATATGTACTTTTGGGAGAAAGGAAAGAATGCAGATTTAATGAAAACTTTTAAATGCTTTCTGATTATTATTTTATAGTTTTTAAAAAATTATTCAGTATGGAACATACTAATCATAAGTTTTATTTTTACAGATTGATAAGGAATTGGCAAGTGGTGAATATTTCTTGAAAGAAAGTCAAAAGAAGCGTAAGAGGGTAGAGGAGATAAAGGTAAAGCCACTCTGATGTCTTTTGAAGTTGTTTTAAAATATGCATGTTAATTGTATGTGCTTTGTCTGAATTGTATGTGCTTTGACCTTTTTAAACTTAGGCAAAACAAGCAGAAGCAATCAGTCGGAGGCAAGAGGAGAGAAACAAAGCTTTTATTCCACCCAAGGAAAAAACAGTTGTAAAACCAAAGAAAGGTAAGATGAGTTCAAATTATTATTTGTTGTAAAAAAACAACACCTTTTATAATTGAGTTCTCTTTTCAGTATTGACATGGTGAAGGGAAATTATTTTGGCCTTTCTGTGTAATGAATTAACATTGGTCTCCTATGTTGACATAGTAACAAGTCTTCTGAGGAAGAGAAAAGTGAAGAATTATGTTTCTGGTTAGTGATGTATTAAACACACGAGCAGCCTGCTGGATCACACCAAAGGCTTATCTCGTCTAGCATCCTGTTCTCACAAACAGGCCTGCTGCAAGGCCATGAGCCCACCCTGAGTGCTGCATCCAAGCTGCCTGTCCCACTTGTGATTCCCAGCAGCTTGTGTATGGAAGCATACAGTTTTGCTACCGCCAGGGGAGGGAAAACATAGCCAGTATGGCTAGTAGTCATTGATGGCTTTAACATTAATGAAGGATAACACCAAGTAACAAGTAGTGCCATAGTTCTGGGGAGTTGCTTCAAACTACTTGATCATTTTGGTTGCTTATTTTTGAACCTTTTCCAGCGCTACGGTATAATTTTGAGGTGAGAGGACCAGAACTGTTCACAACATTTCAGATGCAGTTGCACTATATATTTATTTAATGGCATTGTATTGGCAGTTGTATTTTTTAATCCATTTCTTAATGACTGCTAATGTAAATTGCTTTTCACAGCTGCAACACACAGGGTCAACACTGTAGTCAAGGTTAGTCCTGTGGTTAAGGAAGAGAGCCTTTAACCACCATCACAGGTTCCGATGACACACTAAACCCAAATCTTGGCTTAACTGCCATCCTGTGCTGCCCTAAAAGAGCCTGAGGAGGAGCAAAGTTGGTGCAATCTCTTCTCTGGGAGGCAGTACATTCACATGGTCATGGTAATTCACTCTAGCCGATTATGACATGTGAATCAGGACAGTTGTTTGCTAAGCACAACTTGATGTCATGTTACTTGGTTCAGTGGATGTGTGTAAAAGTTTTGAATATACATTGGGTCCAATTTGTTTACCTACAAATACATAACCCATATTTTATCTTTTTTTTACGTAGCTTCGGCTGAAACAAAAATTGATATCCAAGCTATTAAAGAAAAGGTTAAAAAGGCAAAGAAGAAGAAGTTGGGAGCACTTCCAGAGGAAGAAGTAAAGTTAAAAATTGCAGCAGATGCAAAGAAAAAGAAATGATCTTTCCTTAAGGTTGTAGTGCTCCATTTTTTCCCTGGAGGAAGTTTTCATAAACTGCAGCTTTATAACTGACTAGATGCATTGTCGTAGTGCACATCAAACTACTTGCAAATTTTGCTTTCTCTGTGGCCTGGAAAACCCCCTCAGTGATTTCAAGGTTTGCAGAAAGTAAAATTGGCAGCTTGTTCTTTGCATTGAAAGTTTTTGGTATGAAGGTTTTTAGCATACACAATATTACCAGATATTATTTTGTACAGTATATTGTGGTGTCATTTGTCAGAATGAATGGAAACACTTACCACAGCCTTATACGTGTTGCACACCTTTCAATCCCTGACCTTTGTGGGGAAAGTCTGCCAGGGGGCTTCTACTTGGTTTTGTTGAATCTGTGCAGTCACAAGTCCTGTTTTATCAGGTCTCCCTTATGGTATAGAGTATTCATATCTCTTGCAGGCCTTCCCTCAGTAACAGAGCAATTTGGGGTGGGGATGCAGTAGTTGTGAGGATAGCAAAGCAAGACTTGTTTGCATGCCCACTCTATCCAGCTACCTGCACACCTGTACTTGGCATTTATTTGTGGTATTGTGATGTGTGACTTATGAAAAGAAGGCAGAGTCTGAGAAAATGTTAAATCTTATTTTCCCCAAGTACTATTTACATTTTAGACCCTTCCAACAATTTACATAATCACTGCTCATTTTTAAAATAATACATTTTATTAATATTGTGGTCAAGATGTCATAAATTATGCCTCCCTGTTATGCTTTATTGATGTACATGAACACATAAATGCATTAAAATCAGGTAAGTAAAGAAATAACCCACCCCAGAAACAGACATCACTTTTGAACCATGAACTAAAAGGGTGCATTGTTTTCTGCTATCAATTTTTAAACAAAACAGGCAGGGATAGCCAGTGTGGTGTCCTGCAGATGTCTGACTACAGTTCATGGGATTTGTTGACTAGCCTGCTCTAAAGCAGACTTTGGACTTGACATTTAATTGTTAATGCCATATACCAGCTGACTATGCTTAATCCACCAGCTCTTTATCTCCATTGCTAGTTTATTCATAAAAAAATATTGTGGGATAACGTTGCTTTACAAAGAAGACTGCTGCTAAAGTCCCTAAAGCAAAAGATGGTCTCAGTATTAGAATGGTGATACAGTACTGGTCACAAATTGACTCCTTCTGGCTACGAATTGATTCATCCTGGTCAGAAATTGACTCCTGGACTTTACCTATAAATAAAAGTAAAAAGACATTAAGAGTAGTTCAAGTTTGAAACTTCCTCGATTATTAGACTTGTAAATTATGAATCATTCTAAAGCTGACAAAACTTCTTGGGGTCTATGTAAAAAGCCAAAGTTCATGGTCTTCATTCTAGGACCCTAGGCAGCCTGCTGTTTATGAAATAAATCTGTGACCCCCCTCCCCCCTGGTTCTTCCATGTGTAGAGCAAATGCATCTTCCGTGCCTCTACAAAGTCAAAAGTCCCTGGAGTGTGCTGAAAATATTAGTCAACTAATTAGTTTTCTGCATGTATCTAATTCTACAGCATGCATCAGATTTGCAAGGGAGTCTGCATTCACAGCTGTCTAGATATCTGAAACAACATTTAATCTGGTGTAGCCTAAATTCTATCAAGATCTTATAGCCTGGGGGTTATACCGTATTTTTCGCCCTATAAAACACACTTTCCCCCTCCAAAAATGAAGGGGAAATGTGTGTGCGTCCTATGGTGCGAATGCAGGCTTTCGCTGAAGCCTGGAGAGCGAGAGGCGTCGGTGTGCACCGACACCTCTCGCTCTCCAGGCTCCAGGAAGCTATCCGCAAGTATTGCACCCCCGGGAGGAATTCCCCCGGGCGCGCAAGGCTTGCGGGCGGCAGCCTGCAGCACGGGCGCCCTTCGGAGGACGCCCCGTGCTTCGCGTCGGTGTCCGCAAGCCTTGCGCGCCCCAGGGGACTCCCCCGGGCGCGCACGGCCTGCAGCGCGGAGCACGGGGCGCCCTTCGGAGGACGCCCCGTGCTTCGCGTCGGTGTCCGCAAGCCTTGCGCGCCCCAGGGGACTCCCCCCGGGCGCGCACGGCCTGCAGCGCGGAGCACGGGGCGCCCTTCGGAGGACGCCCCGTGCTTCGCGCAGGCTGCGCGTGGGGCGCCCTGAAGCAGAGCGCGCCGAGCAGACATCGGCCAGCCCCACAAGCTCGGGGGACAGCGGGGAGGCGCAGCGCCACCATCCCACTGTTCCCCGACCTGGTTTTGGGGGGGAAGTAAAGGGAATTTTTTTTTCTTTATTTCCCCCCCAAAAAAGTAGGTGCGTCCTATGGGACGGAGCGTCCTATGGGACGAAAAATACGGTACATATGTTGTCTCTGAAAAACAAATCACGTTCTAGAAACCACATTTCTCACTACAGGGTGCATTGTGGAATGTATCTGGCTGGATATTGGCTGCTGCTGGAAAACTAGCAAAGAGGTTCCAGCTCTCACTATGTTCTAGCTCACCTAAAATAATGGGGAACTTTTTCCCCATGTGAATATTCTGCATGGAGAAACTTCAGTATGAACAAAGCTGTACCAGTTCCAGCACTACTTTGCAAAGCTGCTACAAGTACAGCAATTATTGGTGGCAGGTGGCAACACACAACCAACTACATAATTGCAATTAAAAACCATTGTACAGGCACAAAAATGGACATAAGAGCACTCCCCAGGATTATACTTCCTTCCAAGCAAATAGATACTTCACCATAAATTTGCTTTGTGTCCATTGTGAAGGGGTGGAGTTCCACAACAGACATACCACCACTGAAAAAAAGCCTGAAAATGTGTGCTGATTGTCTGCTCCACACTGAACTTTTATAAAGTATCACCTCCACATGATCCAATAGACAGTAATGAGCTTAAGTCATCTGTTCTCATATGAGCTTCTCCTACAAACTTTACATTTCCAGCTTCAGGACCTTGAATATTTACAGCCATCTCTGGCTATAATGGTGTGACGTAGGATGTCCCTATTTTTCCAAGAGGAGGTGGGACTTAACATTAGAACTAGGAGAGGAATCTACTATGGCAAGTTCTAAATATAATACCTTGTAATAAATGTTCAATCGATCGTCACACTTTGTTTTCGCCAGGCAAGTCGAATTCATTTTCACTTACCACATAGTTTGTCTACACACGGTTCTTCGTCACACTCGCTGCAGGGTGTTCCTCTTTTGTATGGCCATGTTGGAAAATTGCCACTGTAAAAGAACAGCTTTGTCAGGTCACTTTGTGGAAAGAGGGGGGCACAGAATGTGATTTAAAGATTCTTATTCCAGTTACATTCAAACTGCTTGCTGTCTGTATAAATTCTTAATAATAGAGAGTAGGAATAATTAGATAGTTTCTCAGCCAGACATAAGAAGGGACATTTCAGGGCATTAAACTGGTGATGCAGCCACCTTTTCGAAATCAAGACTGAACCTACTACACTCATCAAGTATCAATTCCCAGCTATGTGCCTGAGTTTAATGATAGGTTAAACAAGAGTTTGGATTCTTGCTGTTTTCTATTCGACAACTGCTGAAAGTGGCACACGAGCTTTCAGCTCTACCCAAGGTACTGATGTATCATGATCCCTTTCTTCTACACACTCATTTAACTCATACATTTTGAAAATTAACATAAACCGAGAGGTGATGCATTTGTCATGCAATAGCTGAAAGGAATTGTTTTATATTGATAGTGCTGATACTGGTCTAGCCATCCCAATGATTAACTGGGAATTCAAACCCTCTCCTCCAATTTAAGATAGGAACCATACATTTGGAGATTTAATTTGAGACCAGGTAGGGACATCAATGTACGAGGCTAGGGAAACAAAAAGAGAAAGGGCAAGATTTTAACATTTAATGATTTTCTGTTGAGTTCTATTTCCCCCTTTTGTTTATGTATTTACATTTGCTGAAACCTGGAGACTGGGAATTAGCAAACTAAATAAATATTAATGTTCTTAATGTACAATGGAATACGTTTGTTTCCATGTCAACTTGTTTTAATTAAGATGTTTTGGGGAAATATTTGTCTCTAATGAACTCTCAAACCAAAGCACAGGCTATCAGAATCTTACCTACATTGCCTGAACATAATGTTCCTAGGCATCTAAACAATACCATGTGTTGTTTTTATACCAATACTGTACACTAGAATCTGTTTACTGCAAACCTCCCGTGTTTAATGAATGCATACCATTTCTTATTGTTTAAGGTAGGAATGAGGAAGCTGTGGCCCTCCAGATGTTCTTTCTACTCCCAACAGCCCCAGCCAGTATAGCCACTGATGGAAGCTGTAGTCCAACAATATCAGAAAGAGCATGGGTTTCCCCCATTACTGGTTTAAGGAATGCCAGAGAGTGATAATCTGCAATATTACACAAAAGCTCTGGTATTTATAGCACACTGAGCCAGGCCACTGCTTACAATGGTAAAGTTTGTGAGAGTCTTGAACTCCAGTCTTCAGGAACGTTTTGCCTCCCTTCCTCACCATATTCATAAGGAGTATGGTAGAAACACAAGGCACAAGGAGAAGGGGACGACAGAGGACAAGATGGTTGGACAGTGTTCTCAAAGCTACCAACTTGAGTTTGACCAAACTGCGGGAGGCAGTGGAAGACAGAGCTCTGGTCCATGGGGTCACGAGGAGTTGGACACGACTAAACAACAAATGGTAGAGACAGGCCACCTCCATCATCCTGTCTAGGACCAACTTCCATTGACCCTTCCTCTCCTGGAACTTTCTGTCCCCAGCTATTCCACCTACCTGTATTAGCATTGAAAAATATATCCCCCACCCAGGGATCAGTAACTATTTTATGATGGACCAGAGAGCAGGCTTAGAATGGTTCATATGTGCAGCATCAGTTCTTAAGATAACCTGATCTTGAACAATTCAGAGCTCTATGGGGTTAACATATTCACTTTAAGCCTGGATAGAAACTGGTAACCCATGTGATTTGTGTGTTACATGCTGCCTTGCTCCTCCAACATCCTGGTAATGGTGTCTTCAAATAACATTGTATTTAAAGCAGTCCTGTGTAGAGAGCTTTACAGTAAACTACTCTTCTTGGCAGTGGCACCCTCCCTGTGGGATGCCCTCCCAACTTTTAGAAGACATCTGAAGGCAGCCCTGTATCAGGATTTTTTAAAATGTTTGACCTTTAATTACGCTTTTATATATGCTGGAAGCCACGCAGAGTGACTGAGGAAACCCATCCAGACGGGCTGGGTATAAATAATAAAATAATTATTATTATGGATGAAATCAGTGTATATGTGTAATGAAGACTATGTCTACATTCGCCAGAATAGGTCTATTGCTGGATATGCTGTTCATCTTGAAACTGAACTTTAATTCTTACCATGGTCAGAAAGGACTTGCTGGCCTTAACCCAGAGTTGCCAGCTTCTTGATTCTGGAAGATGCAAGAGTATTTCCTTCACAAGAAAACTTCTTGCATTAATTATAAATCAAAAAGCTCCCTGTAATGTTGCAGGAGTTCCGTACCATGCCCTGAGCGCTCAAGATCACTGGGTCCAGACTCCCTGCAGCCTTAAGCAAAATAAACAGCTGCCACCACATTATTCTCCTGCTGTTTGGTGTACTCTGCATATCAAAGCTAACACAAGGGATGAGATATACCGGTATTTTTCTTAGAATTCTTCAGACCAGAACAAATCATTCATAATTTTAAAAAAGCAAGCAAGAGAAGCACAAGCTGTGATTTTATAAATAAAATAAATCATCATCATCAATTCTGTCTACTATCCTACCATACTTGACTTTCCTCTGTTTACTATACGGACCATCAACCTTTAATGAACAGAACAACCAACCTCCTCTCCTCTGCCTAATCCCATTAAGCTCCTCTAATTGTCCAACTGTGCTTCTCAACTGACCCTCTCCAACTCCACCACATACCCCTTGCGGTAACGCAATCTTCCTTGACACTTACCTAGGCCCATAGTTACAAATGAAATGTGCAGCATTCGACGTAAAGCCTGTTACTTGACGACAGAAGAGAACAGCACAACCAACTTTGTATGTTGTTGCCCAAACCATCTGAAATTAAATGGGTAGATTGTGAAGATTATTAGTATTAAGATTGTGAAGATTATTTAGTATTAAGCGGGTGGCGCTGTGGGTAAAACCTCAGCGCCTAGGACTTGCCGATCGTCAGGTCGGCGGTTTGAATCCCCGTGGCGGGGTGCGCTCCCGTTGCTCGGTCCCAGCGCCTGCCAACCTAGCAGTTCGAAAGCACCCCCGGGTGCAAGTAGATAAATAGGGACCGCTTACTAGCGGGAAGGTAAACGGCGTTTCCGTGTCCTGCACTGGCTCACCAGATGCAGCTTGTCACGCTGGCCACGTGACCCGGAAGTGTCTTCGGACAGCGCTGGCCCCCGGCCTCTTAAGCAAGATGGGCGCGCAACCCCAGAGTCAGACACGACTGGCCCGTACGGGCAGGGGTACCTTTACCTTTACCTAGAGCAGTGTGCCATGGCACCCTGGGGTGCCTTAATTGGTCAGCGGTGCTGCAGGCAACACTGGCCTTCTCGTTCCCTCCCCTCTCTGATGCCCCCTCTCAACTCTGCCTCCCAAAGGCTTGCACAGCTATTTGTTGCAGCAGCTCCCCAGGCGAATGGTGTCTCAAGTGCTGGTTGCCAGGAGCTGAGGCGGCCTTGGTGTAAGTAAGCAAGCAAGCAAGCAAGCGGGCAAGGGAGCCCAGCCAGCCAATCCGCCAGCCCTTGCTGTTGGGAACAGACATGAAGTCCCAGACCCCTGTGGGCAGTGTGAGGAGGCACCTCTCTTTGAGGGAGGGCAGTTCAGAGACCAGGGGCAGCAGCTGCGGCTGCCCAGAGGACTCTGAACGAGAGGAGGCTGTTCAAAAGGGAGCATGTTCAAAAAAAAAGGGGGGGTGAGAGGCTGCCAGTTCTGCAGGCTAGGTGTGACATAACTGGGCTCCTGAGCCCCACAGGGGTGCCGCAGAAAGAATGTAGTTGGTCAAGGAGCAGTGAACTCAAAAAGGTTGAAAACCTCTGATCTAGAGTAACAGCTAACTTACCCAGCTGCTTTGTTTTTCAAAGCAAAGCAGATTAAGGGGCTCCCTCCCCCCTTTCAGAGGGCTCCCTCCCCCCTTTCAGAGTCGGAACTGTAAACTAAACTACTTCTTTCTCTGCAATTAAGTGTGTGCAACTAAGATTTCAGTGCTGCTTTCCCTCTGACCAGAAAATAATCAGAACACTATTGATGTTTCAGTGGAAAAACCTTGAGATTTAGATGGGCAAAATCCGAAGCAGAGATTTTCTGACTCACAGCACATGTTAGAAATCATACTACATCAGCTGTCAAGATGTAAGCATTGGCTTACCTGAGTGTAATGTCCACATACATCACTGCAGTATCTGGTATCATAGTCGTAATGCACGACTTCATTGTACCAATCAGTGAGGGCCGAAGTCACATTAAAAATCTGAAAGGAGCCAGTCCAAATATTTTCTCCAGCTGTTGTGAAGTTGGGGTGTACCTTCCCTGGTATTTTGATGTCATAATTATGTTGAAATAGGCACCTCTTTGCCCAGCCTTTGGCAGTCTCTGCTAGTTTGTGGTCCCAGCTCTACAGAAAAGACAAATGCTTTCATTTACAATATAATTTTTAAAATCCCAAAATTTAGAAGAGTTAAGGCTCTTACAAATTTAGTCACCACCCCTCCCCCAAAACATGGAAATAACTGTAAAATTAAGTCTTCTGTGTTAACTTGAATGCATGGGTGGAGATCGCAAACCACCGCCACCATACTGTGCTGATCCCACTCCTCCACTACTTGTTATCTAAAGGTACCTTGCACCTTTAGATTTTATTTTCTTAAGTTATAATTTTTTACTTATTTTTCTAACCCTTTTACTGTTGCCACCATATATCCACGTACCAATTTATGCCCCACGTTTACCTCCCAGCAGCTATAAATGTAGGACAAAATAGCACAGTATCAACTCAAAATATAATTTGCTTCATTTTCACTTTAATTTTAAATAATTGCTGTTATAAACAGATATTAGCTTGTATGGTTACTGCATGTTGAAGTTTACTTTGCTACTGTTCTTTGTTTAAATCAGAATTGTTACACTATAAGGCTATTGTTGTGTTTCAAAAGGAAGATGGGAGATTCAGTTCCATCCAGCTTTATAGCCAATTCCCCTAAACCATGCATACCCAGGTAACACACAGCTAGGCACTGAGGGCTTGCACTCTTCACTCAGGTCTACCACCTCTTCCCTATAGAGCAGGATGGTCCAAATTTTCATACCAAGTGGGCCACAATAGTACTTCAACATGGAACCCATGGGCCACACACTGCCTTGTTGCAGTGACACCCCTCACCCCCTGCACTGCCTTCTCAAAGTCGGCTAAGTGGGGTGCCAGGCTTTGGGAAGGAGGTATAAGTCTCTTGCAGGGTCCTAACGCCTCCTTCCCAAAGCTGGGAAAGCGCTAACTAGGCTTTGGGAAGGAGGTGGGAGGACTCTAGGACTCAGAGCCCTCATATTTCCTTCCCTAAGCCCAGTACCTCCTTACTTGCAGCTCTCTGGCTCTAGAGTCCTCTAGGTTTTTCTCAAAACTTCTGATGCAGTCTTCATCCTGGTCCAGCACTCTCTGCTACCTCAGGCATTCAGCATCTGACTGACTTGCCTATAGAACTCTCTTGAAGGCTGCCTCTTGGGACGTATGTTCTTCAATGGTTGGATCCAAGGAGGTCTGCAGGGATTTCTGCTCTTGGATTTTCTTAGACTTCCCAAACCTCTAAGCCCCAGTGCCCCCTGCTTGCCTCCAGCTCCTAGTTCTTCCTGCAACTGATATTCTGTCGTCTTCTTCATGTTTCCTCTAAGCATGACTGAAGTCTTAAACAACCCTTTTATTTAGAGAAAAGGTCTCTTTCCAGCCAATCATTTCAAATTTCAGCGCGTCCCCGCAAATCAGGTTGTGACTATGGTCTAATGGGCTGAAGAATATACACTGACTGACTAGTTAGAGCCCACCAGTTTTGAATGTACTGTGCCTGTATATAAAGACAGAAACTTTGCTCCCAAACCTATCCTTGTTCTGAAAGAATTTAACTGGCAGTTAAACAGCCAAACTACCTTATTATCTCCACAACTCTCAACAGAAAGTCAAAATAGTTTACCTACAGTTAGCCATCTTCATTCAACAGTGTGAACTAACACCAACACCAACTTTCTTGTACCCCACCCATCTAACTGGGTTTCCCCAGCCACTCGGCAGCTTCCAACAAAATATAATGGAACACAATGAAACATCAAACATTAAAAGCTTCCTGAAAGAGGAACTATATATTCATTTAAAACAAAATCTTTACCTTAGAAATAAAAATGATAAGAGTGCTACATACAGTTCTAATTTAGTTTAGGCTTTATGCATCCATACTTCAGCCCACACTCTCTTCTGCAAGCTAGGGAGTGGCAACACTGAAATTAAGGCCAATATAGGAAACAGTGAGCACCTGCTAGCTGCTTAATGATTCCTTGCTCTCCTCAGGTGCTAACCAAGTGAGCTATTGCAGAGTTGGTTATGTGGGGCAGGCAGGAGTGGGGGAATTGTGTTGGCAATGGACATGGAAGCTGGAAGTCATCCAATATCTTATGGGGAAGGGTGGGTAAGGTAAATGAACAAATAATGTTCTGTGTTAATAGCAGATTCTCTCCCATAGCTCACAGCTGCTGGGGGCTTTTGTTTTTGAAGGAAAGGGTTAGCTACCCTACACTGTCCTGATCTCTCCCCACAGCAGCAATTTAACTAAAAAATAAAATAAAATTCCAACATCCGTTTAATGTAATGTGTAGTTTGACCTTCAAAAGGAAGTTGGATATATGCCTGATCACCATCCTTGAAGTTTTAAAGAAAATTAGGGGAAATTGCTGGTAGAAGCATAAGCATAAAAACAGAGCGGATCCTAGTTTGACTATTGACACTAATTAGTGCTGGTTAGTCCAGTAGTAACCTTAAAAGGAAACTGTAAGATCCAATTTGTCTTAGAGAGCAATCCAAATAAATGCAGATTTTATAATTTTCAATAGTTATCTCAATATGCATTAAAGCCATCTACAGTTGCATCCAAGGGGCACATTGCAAAGTTTTGAATCACAATCTTAAAACTGTACGCATGAAGACAAGCCTTCCACTATCAACAATGTATCATTTCCTCATAATCCTTTCTCTAAAGAATAATTTATTTTTGTACTGTACATTGCTTTGGGTTGCATTGGCAACAAAAGGCAAACAATAAGCTTAATTAATAAAATAATAATAAAAATAATAGTGGTGGTGTTAGAGTTCTTTAAAACTCAAAAGCAATGACTTTTTGTTCTGATCCATAGCTGTTCCTAATAAAGGTATTGAATTCTTATCCTGTCAGGATTTACCCATAGTTAGTGCTGTGTGCTTTTCAAGGTCCCAAATCAATCCAAACATTATCATGAAAAAGGCACCAGTTTTGCAAGGCACCAGTGTATTCATTTGGACTTTGCTACCCAGGTTGAGCCCCTTAATTCCGATAGTTTGCATCAGATGATGCTATGAAAGCAGCATTGGTGCTATTTGGCTTGTAGGAATCAAGTAAAGGAAATAAGTGCCTAAGAAACCCCTTTCAGTTAAAAACAAAAATGCAGAAATGCATTCGAAAGAATTTTAGAGGCCATGGCTAATAAAACACAACATACGTTTCATTAGGAAGTGTGATAATTTAGGGTTACGCACACACCTGTAGCATCTAATACCTTAATTAAAAACACCTGCCAGTAAGTAATTTTAAATCTTCAGGACACATAAAGCAATGTTCACATTTTCCATAGCTACAGAATGAAGCATCCCTTACCATTCGTTTCATGTTGGTAGCTGGTGGATTCACGTTGGATCGGAATTTGTTATGCACTCTGACACATTCCTCAATAAACTCTGCATTTCCAATGTCTGGCAAAGTATTTGGCTCATAAAAGTAGCAGGAAATAGAGAGATTCAGGAAAAGCAAAACACCAAAGAAAAAATGGATTTCTGGCATTCTCCAGTCACTGTCTTGATTTCTTAGAGTGCCAAAATGTATTAGCTTTTTTAAAAATGCTCTTTGTTGTGCATTTGATATTTAGCTTGAAAACATCAGGCTGCCTTTTTCTCACTTGTTCTGCTTTATAAGCATAAAGACTACAGGAAATTAATCATCGGAAGGAGCTTCAGTAGAAGGCGGAGACCATGAGTCAATTTTGCATCTGAACTGTTCCTTTTCTTATACTTCCTTATATGCTTCTCTAACATCTCTTCGTATGGTATAAGTCCATTACTATTTAAGAACCATAATAAGCATTATAGAATGTCTCATGTGAGCATGTACAATAATCCTTTTTCAGTAGCTTCTTGATGCAATTTTTTTTAATTAAATAAAGAAGCTTCATAAAAGCACCTCTTTGGCACTGGAGATGTGTTTTCCGGATCCACTCTATTCTTTTTACTAATTTGTTTGCTGGGGAAGAGCAGGAAATAACAACAACAACAACAACAACAACACAAAGTAAATAATTAAAACAAATATGAAATATAAAAAAGCAAGTAAACTTTAGAAAATCCACAACTGATTACTTGTACAACAGAATATTGGAATTGCAGTGTCCATATACAGAAAAAATTGAATCACTACAAATAATATAGTAATTTAAGTAATAATAGTTCACAATATCAAAATATTGATAGTTGCCAAGTCTGGAGATCTGTCCATATTCCAGAATTGCATGTATAAGATGTGCAATAATTTTAAAACCTCTTCATCCCCCCCCCCCCCAATTTTGGCTTGTACACCAGTCCTAGCCACATTTTTAAGTGGTTTATGATTTCAGGACTCTTTAGGGAAAAAATTACAGTACTACACACAACAGTAAAATATCCAGTCCAGAATATATAGTTCTCTCAGCAGCACTTTCTATAAACACAGGTTTAGGTACCTGCGCTTATTTAATTTCCTGCTGCCACCAGTTTCCCTCAGAAGGCTTTCAAAACCTCCTAATGGCATGTATATAAAACTTAGGTGTGAGATGGGCACCTACACTATAGACAGAATGAACCTGAAATTAAGATCGTTTGTTTATTAAAAGGATACTGTGTTATGTAACAGGATACTGACACTTATGGTATATTGGGGACCTCAAAGGCACTAGTTGACAATTTCTGAGGACTCAATAGAGAGCAGCCTCTAAGCAGCTTTTACCTCAGGCAATATTCTTTATACCTCCCACCCTAGCCAAATACCTCCAATATCCTAGTCCTGCTATTGGATACAATCTGCCTCTCTACCCTAAGTCTCCTCAGGTTGTATTTCTGGCTTGCTTGGACAGTTTAGTCAACTGTAAAAAACCTGCCTGTGTAACCATCCTCTGGTTAGACTTTTAACATAGATCAGCATCTCAGACCAACTCAGTCACCAGCTCCTTTCCCTTGATCTTCGCCAGAAAGGAAAATAATAATTCAATGGGTATAAATACCCATGCCTCAGTTTTTCTTCTATTTTTCTTTGGTCTATTCGTCACCCCCTCCTCATCAACTCTCTTTCTCCCCTTCAACTCAACTGACTAAACTCAACTGTTTCCCGTATTGATGGTTAACTCCCAACTGACTGGAACTTCCATTCAGTTGGATTCTGCTGTCACTCAGATCAGAGAGAATTTACCTGATCCAGGCCCCACCTAGTAAATTCTCAAAGCGACCGTGTCTCTCTCCCCACCCTACAGAACCTTGCCAACAAGATCTACTGCCACAGGCCTGCAACACTGCAAGCCCCAAACCTTTACAGTCGCAGAATATATTTTTTTCTTTCAAAAAACAAAGACATATATACAGCATTTTCCCATATCGATATTTTATATTTTCTGTTTGTCCTAGTATAAAAACCATGTGGCCACCAAATATTTCACTATTATAGAAAATAATGACTAACCACATAGAGACATATTACTGGAAGAATTTATGAATCTCTTCATTCCAGGATCAATGTGCAAATTCACGTGTTTCAGCTATGTTTTTTTAAATGAATGTGAGAATGCCAGATGTACAAGTAATGATCCATTTGTGACACAAAATAATACACAAAGCAGGTGCCGTGGGTAGACAAAGGGGTGGGGGACAGCTGCCCTCCCTCAATCAAGTAAATAAATAAAAATACTTAACTGACCAATCATGTCACAGATAGCTCGGTTTTGCCCCCCCCCCCAACATAAATAATGGCTACACCCATGGTAGACACCACTGCATTTTCAAAAGTGTGATGTTCTAAGCATGCAATTCCGTATTGATTGAATTGGACCCGAAATATATATGAACAATATGTGAAGTGGAAGTTAAGCAGCATCAATAGATTTTACAATATATAGTTGGATATGTAGCCCCCTGGTAATTTTGAGTGGGGCTATGGATCTCAATAAGAAATTCCCAATTTTGGGGGGGATTGCACATTTCCCCTTGACAGCTAGACTATTAATACAATTTAAGTTCCTATTCTCAGCATCATTCAATGACAGTTGATGCCCACTGGACCTGCCAGAACTGCTAGTAAGTCATGTAGGAGTGGCCCATGGGATCACAGAGGCATGGCAACTTGTTCAGGTTTTCTCCCCATTCTCTTCCATGCAAACAAACAATGGACACTTAAGCAGCAGGTTTATGGATACTTAGGACACAACTAAGGGCCCATCTGCACTATACCTTTAAAGCATTATCATATCACAGTCATGGCTTCCCTGCAAAGTTTGTTTGTTAAGGGTGCTGAGAGATATTAGGGAGACCTCTATTCACCCTATAGAGCTACACAGAATGGTTTAACAATTGTAGCTTTCTGAGATTAATAGAGGTCTGCTAACAATGGAGCGTGTGGATTTGATGGGGGTTTTTTTGGAGGGTGGTAGTTAATGTCTGGCATTCTTCTTGGCAAAGCTGTGCTACACCAGCTCTAGTGTGGAAGAGCCTCCACTGGCATCATTGTTAATATTGTTGGGAAGTTTGTTTACAATTATTAGTGTTCAAGTATTATGAAGTGTAGAAAGCAGAGGTATCGCAAAGCATTGGAAGACGCAAGATCTACCCACTCTGGAAGAATGGCAGATGCAAGTAATAGACTATATGGAACTGGCAGAAATGACCGGCAGAATCCGAGATCAAGGAGAGGAGCAGGTGGAAGAGGACTGGAAGAAGTTTAAAATTTATCTTCAAAAATATTGTAAAATTTATGAATGCTAAGGGCTCTGAAAATGAAATGAAGGGGTTTTAGCGATTAAGTTAAATAGACTGTAAAGAGATGGACAAAGGCTTAAAAATGAATAACTAATGACCTTGCTGAATTAATTTTTAAAATAGAATACAAGAAGGGAAGGCGGGTGGAAGTAAAGAGAATAAGGTTCTGAAAGTTATCAAAATGAAAGAGTGTTCTTTTTTATGCTATACTTTTTTCTGTATTCTTTTTTGTATTTTTTCCTCTTTTTCTGATGTTTTATTGTTTGGATTTTTGAGGTTTGTCTGTTCTTTTTTGTGGTTTTTTCCTGTTTGGTTGTTAATTCTTTGGAATTTCTAATAAAATATTATTATAAAAAAAAAGAAAAGAAAGCAGAGGTATCAACTAGTATCTTAGCATAGGATCCCCAGACCACATTAATATAGACAGACAGAAATACAAGAAAGATAGTGATCACATACTGTCTAGGCATTTGCACACCAGTCCCAAATATGTGTCTGGCAGTAATACAACCACAACAATACATTCATGGGCAAAAGATTCAATTCCAGATTAGTGAAACTAATTAAATACAAGGTGTATATTTTGGAAAACTGATCACTTGTACTTCAAACATATTTTTTAAAAACAGCAGGAAAGAGTTGCATCAGTATTCTGAAACAAGTGTACAGGAAGTGGTTTCTTTAACATGCGTGTTGAAACAAAACCAAAACAGGGAAGCCCAGATACAGCATTTTAATCTGATGAATAAAAAATGTTTCTGGTGTATAGCAAGCTAGGACCAATTCTGAGACAGGGTGCAATTAATTAAGGGCTTATCCAGAGAAGATGGAGGTATGTTTCATAGAATCATAGAATTTGTAATCTAGTCCAACCGCCTGCAATGCAGGAATCTTTTGCTCAACATGGGATTTGAACCCACAGCCCTGAGATTAACAGGAATAGTAGTAGTAGTAGTAGTAGTCGTAGTAGTATCATGCTCTACCAACTGATCAAGACAGTGGTGGTTTGTCAAGCCACCTTTAACTTTCTTAAACCCTGTTGGAGCTCCAAATGCCCACATGCAATGTTTTGGGAATTGTAGAACTTAAAGGAGAAACACTGAATTGGTTGTTTGGTTTTTAAGATTGTGGGCTGAATTTAGAACCATTCTTGTGTGAACTGGCCCTAAAGCACTCTGGCTATATAGATCTCACTCATTTGAATAGGACTTCCTCCAAACAAAATATGAAGTGGATTCTGCCCATAGAAGAAGTAAAATATTGTTTAAATCCTACATTAGATTCTTCCTTTGAAGAAGCACTTTCCCATATTCAGGCCCTTCTACAGGATGGGGAAGCTGTTTGGCCAGCACTCCTGCCAGACAGAAAGAGAAACGTGACTTATTTAGAAGAACATTTGGCCTAGTTCTAAAGAGGACTCAGACTTAAGACGCCAATGGAGTGAGACTATATCTCCCTCCCCCCACCCCAAAGAAGTTACTGCTGGCTTATCGAAGGCTGTGACCAAGGCCTCACATTTGTGAGGTCACAAATCCACTGATATTCCCCAGCTCAGCATTGTAATAGTCAAATAAGATGAACACAATGGCTGAGTTGTGAAAAAGCTCGTCAGTCATCTTGGCAGTACTAGGAGTGCATGCAACCCGGTTTAGACTCTACCCCAATTATAGACATTTTTGTCCCATGGTAACTATATTTATTCAGTGTGGGCTTGCACTGGCCATTGTGTAAGGACTAGGAGGAGCTGTTCCCGTATCTGATGTGTGTTCCTCAGCTGAAGGCTCCTGAGTTCAGCGCCTTGAACCAGCATACGAAGTACAGTAAGCTGGAGACACTGCTCAGCAGGCTAGGGAAACACATGTATACCAGGCCTGGCTACTCTGCAGTCTTCCTACTACCTGTCAGTTGCAGGGGTTGAAGGTGTACATTTTTGTTTCTTTCTGCCCCTGAAGAGTTTTCTGCATGTGCAGGGGCTCACTTGATTAACCCTGCAGATTTTACTGTTCAAGCCCTGGGTTGCTTCCACACTTTGGGTCTAAGGTATTGCTTTATCACAATTAACTGGAAATGGAATTAAAACAGTACACTAATTAACGCAATGCACTCTTCCATAGACAAGTTTTTCTTATGGTATATACTTACAAGTAGAATCCCATTAAGCAAAGATCTGTGGTAACTTCAATTTAAAGTATATGGTTTAAAAATGTAGCTAGTTTTATTGTTTCCTGTTCATCCCTGCAGATGAATAGCCTGTTAATTACCCTTTGAATATCCACTTTGAATTGCCCAGTAGGAGTTTCTGGTACACTTCTGTGCATGCGTAGGAATCCTCTACAGTCATACCTTGGAAGTTAAACGGAATCCGTTCCGGAAGTCCGTTCAACTTCCAAAACGTTCGCAAACCAAATGGTGGCTTCTGACTGGCTGCAGGAAGCTCCTGCAGCCAATCAGAAGCCATGGAAGCCCCATTGGACGTTTGGGTTCCAAAAAAAGTTTGTAAACCGGAACAATCACTTCTAGGTTTGCGGTGTTTGGGAACCAAAATGTACTCCAGCCAAGGTTGATGAAGTGAGGATTAGTTACCAAGTTCCTCTTTTCATTTATGTTGAAAACAATGTGAGTTGATCCACAGGGTAATCAACAGGTAGCCTACACTTAATATCCCAGCTAGAAACAAAACGTAGCAATAAAGTGGGCTGAATTTGTAAAGAAGTGTTTAATTTAAAGGCACAAGTCTTCAGAAAAACCCTTGTAGTGTTTTGTGTGCCAAAACAGACATACTGCTGTTACAATTACATGAAGAAAAAAGCCTGCAAAGAACTTCGGAGGATAACATGAAAAGAACTGGACTGCTCCAGAAAAAGTGAGCAATAAAAGAATGGCAATTCCAGAGACAGGTTTCTACGGATCAGTAAAACCCATAATATTGTACACTGACACACACACACAATATTAGTATTCATTTTTCTGCTTTTAAAAATATCCCCAAGTCATTAAAATGAAACAATAAACTTTTTAATAATTTTATTAAATTGAAAATATATAAAACAATGTAATTAACCAAATCTATTTTTAAAAACATAAACATCCATGTACATATGAGTCTTAGATATTAAGGATAATGTTTTGTGTTATATGCATCTCATACAGTTTCTGTTTGCAGCATTAAATCTGGATAACATTTCTGTAAACAGTAAACAGTAACAAATGCTAGAAGTGTTAGTGATGGCCTTAAAACTGCAAGTACAATACAGGAGTCATCACATATAAGGTTGTGTTCCCATGGAGGATACCATCGTGAATAGCCTATTTAAAACAAACAAACATATTTTTACTAGGCAAGAATGTCATTTTAAATGTAAACTTGAGCTATATAATTTAATTGTAATACATACGCTTGATGTATATTTTGTCACGGCTTGAATTTCCTGCACAAGGAGAAAAGTAGCATTATAACTATTGGAGAAACCTGTTTCACAATATTAATATATTATCAATGGGTTTTACTTGTTTTCAGTCAGAGCGCGGCAGGTAACTCATAGCATTTCTACAGAATTTCAGCATCCAGAATGTGCAATCATCAGTGTATGACACAATCATTTACCGTATTTTTCGCCCTATAGGACGCACTTTTTCCCCTCCAAAAATGAAGGGGAAATGTGTGTGCGTCCTATGGGGCGAATGCAGGCTTTCGCTGAAGCCTGGAGAGCGAGAGGGGTCCGTTCTGGGGGCTGTGGTCGGGGGAAGCTTGGGCTTCCCCCGCCCCCAGCCCCGCAAGTGATGGCAAGGTTCCGCTTGCTGTCATGGCTTCTTTGCTCTTTGGGGCTCGGGGGATATTTTTTTTCTTTATTCCCCCCCCCCAAAAAAATAAGTGCGCCCTATGGGCCGGTGCGCCCTATAGGGCGAAAAATACGGTATTTGGTAAAAATCAACTCATCTCCAAACTCTTGAACTTTAATTAGGCACGAATTAACAAAGAAGTCAGGATACAGCCTGAAAGCATCCCCATAGATTATGAGTTGTGTAAGCAAATCTGTGGTAGTGCAATGCCTGTGACTGCATTGTCTGACACCATTGTCACACTACTGTAGACAAGGATGTAAAATTGTTGGAACCTTGAAGCTGGATTTTGTACAATTGTGTAGCACAATTCTATCATTATGATATGAGGTGTAAAAATACATGGATTTTTTGGGGGGAGTGGGAATCCCCCCCCCCTTTGAGTTCTTCCTAGCAGAATCTAAGACATACAGTATTAGATTGGGAGGCAGGCTTTCTTCCCATTGGAATAGTGCAGCACTTTACTTTTTCACAGTGTTGTGAAACTGCAGCCATTTACTACAATGTATTTAAAAGATCGGGTTTCCTTCCAGGTCTTGCAGATTGTTTGCTTTAACAACCAAACCTGCCTTGCTCTAAGTTCCATGACTTGCATATACACATAGACACATGCACACATAGACACATGCATATACATACATATAAACACACAAGAGAAGCTCGTATTGCTTTAAAGTTAATAGAAATATATACATATGTGCGTGAGAAAGCCTTTCATGAATGTTCATTTTACTCAGATCTGTACTTACTACAGAGATGGTCTTGACAAGTGTCTCCTTCTGGGCATGCACTACAGGGCTGTCCTGTTTTGTAAGGTCTTGAAGGATAGGTGTCACTAAGGAGCATAATTTCCAGAATGTAATAGGGTACTCAATTCACAAGCTAAACTGAAGACTAAAGGGCAAGCTATTCTGAATATACCGTATTTTTTGCTCTATAAGACTTTTTCCCTCCTAAAAAGTAAGGGGAAATGTGTGTGCGTCTTATGGAGCGAATGCAGGCTGCACAGCTATCCCAGAAGCCAGAACAGCAAGAGGGATTGCTGCTTTCACTGCGTAGCAATCCCTCTTGCTGTTCTGGCTTCTGAGATTCAGAATATATTTTTTTTCTTGTTTTCCTCCTCCAAAAACTAGGTGCGTATTGTGGTCTGGTGCATCTTATAGAGCGAAAAATACGGTTAATTATTTAGTTGTAACAAATAAACTGCCTATGCGTTGAGGCATCAACTAAAAAATATTAGGTTATAAATGGATTTTCCTGAGTTAGAATAGTTGAACAGTCCTATGCTGTGGATTAGATATAGACTGTGATATATACACAATTAATAAATCTGTGAAGAGAATATTTAGGACTGCCAAATGTGACCTTTAAAGTTACAGCAAAGAGGCCAACCACTGCACTGCAACCTTGATCAGTTCAGTAATGACTACATGAACTTCAACCTCTATGAGTAATTGCTTATGTGAGGGGTCTGCAATGTGAACTTCTGAGCCTCTTCTTCTTCTTCTTTTTTTGCAGTGCGATTCTTTTAAGAAGCCATCACCGATTTAAAATTAAATTTGAATTAAGTGCAAGACAAATAACATGTACATTTAATTCTATGTACTTCAGAAACACTTATTTGCTTAATATCTACCAGCACTCCTTTATGAAAAAAATTTGGACACTTACAGCCAAATCCTATACATGTCTATGAAGAAGTGAGCCCTATTGGGTCCAATAAAACTTATACTCAGCTATCTATTCATAGGACTCCCTCCTTAAATATTTACAGTACTTAAGCTAAATAAAATACCAAAGCCTTAGAAAAGTTACACAGCCACTTTGTGCACAGTCAATGAAAAAAATCACCTAAAATCCCACACTTCTTAGGTCACTGGCTGGGTTTATCTCTTATTCTCTTAAACATTTGTTAACTTACGTCGGACCATAATTGCAAACGAAATATTCAGTATTTCTATGTCGATCAAGTCTACGACAGAAAACAACAGCACAGCCAACCTTATAAGTAGAAGCCCGAACAACCTGGGGGGGGGGAGAGCAGATTTTATTTTACAAAGAAAGGTACAATTTGTGTTAATAGTTACCAAGTCCAGGTATTTAGGCTTTAGAGATTTAGTACAAATCCTCCAGTTTTCAGAACAAAGAACTGTGAATGGTTTTCGTCTTTGGGGTCAGGATGTGGCAGAAGTGCCTTCGCTGGTGGAAAGGAACTTCTCTTAGGCTACAGCAACATCCTGCAGTGGATCAGCCTTCACCAGCTGAACCTTATCAGCCTATCTGTGTCCCCTAAAAGTTACATACGGGATCTGCCTACACAGGTGTATGTATTATTGATGATCTTCAATCTAGGGATTGTTACCTGCCACAGAGGCTGCTACATGGTATTTCCACTCAATTATTTGGTGGAATTAGCAAAGACAGCCAATTCCCAATTTGGGTTAATACAGAGTAATATTTATTTATTTACACTGCCAAAATTGCAGTCAATAAGTAATACTGTGTTGTGGCTTGAACAAAAAATACAGGATAAAAAGATCATGAGCCTAGCCAAGGGGAGTGGGGGTGGACAGCTGCTCCCCCCTTCAAGTAAAACAATAGAAATACTTAACTAACTGACCAATCATGTCAGTTTTGCCCCCCTCCCCCCCAAAAAACCCAAAAATCCTGGCTACACCCATGAAAAATATTGTTAGTTATCACAAGATTATACACGGGGCATCTAAGTCCACATTCCCTTGACCAACAGATTATACTTCTATTATACAGACAAGGGTTGTCATACGTTCAGAATTTACCGGACATTGCCGGGATTCAGCCATCGGAAACAGTGTCTGGGTGGAAATCGCTTTAATGTTTGGGAAAATCCGGACATATGGCAACACATGTTGGAAGTGTAGATTTTGGCGAATTTCCTTAAAAATAGCTCAGAAACTACTTCCTCCTCTTCTAGATTTTACAAAAAAAGCTCAACAGCTTTGGGCAAAACTAAAAACAAAACAAAAAGCTGGGTCTGGACCATACAAAGACAGAAGGATATCAAGATTTACAGGAGGGCCCTCCATATGCCACATCCCCTCTCCCTAGGCCACACCACTAAACCCTGCTCCGCTCCCTCCTCTAGTGCTTTTGCCAGGCTGAAATGTGTTTGTGAACTTTGATAATGTCTCTTGCTTGCCACGACTGAGGGCGGAGATATGGGAGTGCACAAAACTCAGGCGTTTGTGTGGCTGGAATGTGGTTTATGGTATGAAGGTAAAATTCATAGCCTTTGCTCTGCCCATTTTTGCCTCTGGTCCCACCCAGCACCGGTGTGTAGTATGTAGCATCCAGAATGTGGGCCTTAGGCTGAAAAAGATTATTCACCCCACCGCAAGAGGCAGTAACCACGACAAATAAAACAACAAAACACAGATAAGATGAAAGGGTACAGTGAAAAGGATACAAGGCAGAAAATAGCTACAACTGGACATTTCTGTTTTCAGGGAGAAGTTTGGGTGCCAAGGATTGTGGAGCAGCCTCCATAGGGAAGACTGAATGAAATGGTATTTTAAAGACTAGGTTTCCTTAAGAGAGAGGGTTCCTGAGAGACAAAGGATTAAGACTGAAGATGAAGCAAGACAGAATAGATATGGCATGCCAATAGGCACAGGTACTGAGTTACAGCAGAGAGAACAGGTTTCTGCCTGACTGGGAGGTCTCAGGAGTGCCTTGAGCCAATCAAAACAAGGTGCTCAGGTGACCAGAGGTAACTGACTTGTACTAAATGTTAATGATAAGATGATTTAAAACATGATGGACCATTTTATTCAGAAGGAGGCTGATTAATGACCGAATGAAAGTATATGCTTCTCAGAAGTGGCAAACGGTGCAGGTGCATAATTATGCATTCCTCTCCATCCTATTTGTATTGCTTGAAAGCAGCAAGCTTAAACCAAGCTTTGCTTCTTCTGTTCTGTTTGCAAGAATGTACATTACCATTCACCTTTAGAGTGGATCCAATTTGTGCAGAGTGCTGGCCAAACCAAACCTTGAATATTTGTGCAGCATGGATTCAGAAAAGATAATAGAAATGGCACGTCTCATATGCAGCAGAAGGAAGTTCCAATGGATAGGTGACACCACACTAAAGGCCCAATTCTACATCATATGGAGTGGATCTCCTCATGAGGCGGCATATACATAAAGCCCTCTCCTGCAGAGTGCAGTGATTGTTTGGGTATATAAGGGATGAGAGAGCATTTTAGGATATACAGGGCTAACCTTCAATCATCATTCATGCCTTGCAGGTGCAAAGCCTGAGTGATTAAAGCAAACTAATCCTTCCAATACACAAATCAGGTACAGATCCAAGCCACCACATTGCTGCATCAAAGGCAGGTACTGGCACAGCACAGTGACTCCACGTGTAGCTATCCTATATCTCCTGTAAGCAAGGGTCCTTTGCTGCCGCTTGATGTTGTTTTATTATTTGTTTTAATATTGTATGCTGCTTTGTGTATTCCAAAAGAAAAGTGGTACAAAAGCTTCATTCATTCATTCATAAATAAATAAATAAATAACTTGGGTGCCCATGGGCCTTGGAAAGGAGAAGATCCCAAGTTTTTACAGATATTTCAAGGAGCTTCCAGCATCATGAACTATACATCTTGCAATTTATATACTTTGGTGAAAGCTATAATTCTTGCAATTTATATAATCTCATTAAAATTATATAATTTCATTAAAATTATGTAATCTCATTAAAACTGAAGTTGACAAAAATATATTCAGAAATTTTAGAAATGATCTCTACATTAATTTCTACCATTCTATGACTTGGAAGCAGACTAGAGCCAGGACAAGGTGATTTCCACCAGTCTTTCTCCCAGCAACAATCATCACCAGGTCGCAATTTCCTCAAAGCCTCTTTGGAGGGGTTGGGGGAGCCTACTGAGTAGGGTGGGCTATGACATGGGGAACTGAAAGGGGCTCTAGTAGACAAGGTGCTGAAAACCAGGCAGAGAAATATTCTGTGAATGACAATTTCTCTCTTGGAAGGTGCCTGATTTTTAGTAATCTCCTCTTCCCCTGTGCCACAGTCCACTCCATTCAGTAGGATTTCTCGACCCACTTCGGTAGAGGTTTTTCAGGTGGCTTAGGTGCAAAGGGGATGGGAAAGTCCCGTTCTACCTCTTCTCATCAGGTAGTGCTTCTTTGGATGATGATGCTGATGATTTAAATTTGTGTACTGCCCTTCATCCGAAGATAATAGGGTGGTTCACAAGATAAAAATACAAAATGAGAACACAAAATACACCATAAAACCAAAACCAGAACAAACCCCAACTCCCACAAACACATTTGAAAGGCCATAGAATATTAATCAGCTGAAGGCCTGGTTATAGAGAAACATTTTTGCCTGGCGCCTAAAGATATGCAAAGAAGGTGCCAGCCGAGCTTCCCTGGAAAGAGCATTCCATAAATGGGGAGCCAATGCAGAAAAGGCCTGATCATATGATGCCACCCTCCAGACCTCTTGCGGAGGAGGCACATGAAGAGGAAGCTTCAGATGATGATCACAGGGTCCTGGTTGATTCATATGGGGAGAGGTGATCCCTGAGGTATTGGGATCCTGACATCATGACATTAGTTATAAATTCAATATCCAATGTCATTTATAACTAAATGGATATTTATAACTAAATGTGATAGCCTTCAGATTACTTTAAAAAGTATGATATAGCACCATTATAACAGTCACTTCATGTACTTGCTGTCTTAAGTGATCAATGTTTCTTGATGTTTTAAGATTATCTTAACTGAGAACAGAAGTTACCTGTTTATAATGTCTGCATACTTGTGAACACGAATTGTCCTGGTAATCATAGAAATCTTTATCCGAGTACCATGAATAGATGGCATTAGAAGAATTAAATGGCACTCTGCGGGCAGGTCCAAACCATATATTTTCTCCCACTGGATGAAGTTTAGGATCAGGATGGCCAGCTCCTTTTTCCTTCATAAAATAGTTATGTTGAAAAATACATTTCTGTCCCCATGCTCTAGCAGTTCTAGCTAAAGCTAGATCCCATGTCTGCAGGATATAAGAAATATATAATGCATTTTTTAATCACATTATCATTAGCTAACTTCCACGAGTAACTATAAATTTATTATTATTATTATGCCCCACCCATCTGGCTAGGTTTCCACATCCACATTTCAACAGAACTGCAAACATTATGCAAATATTTATTTGGATCAAGAACTTAAAGCAGAACAATCTTATACTGTACATAATATCCTCAGAAGTAAGTCCTGTTGAGTTCAATGGGACATATGCCAAGACAAGTAGGTATAGATTGCAGTCTAAGTTGGTTTCATCCTGAAACTTGGCATTATCTAGTCAACAGTATCATAGCAACTCAAGCACTTATGCATATTAATTTAGGACAGGGTTACTGAGGTCCTCCAGGCCTCCCCATTTGATCAGCCAAAACCAGCTAAGCCATGCTCATTTATGGCATTTGGGTTCAGGCAGGGAGAGTTGCACCTGAACCCAAAAACCATTTGTACTTACCCCTGATCAGCAGGACCTACAAAGCTCTTTACAAGGCACTCTGAAGCTCTGATAATCAGATGATTATCATTGCTTGAAGAGAGCCCTAACAGCCAAAGCCCCCATGGGATTTGCTAACTAGAGCTAACTACATGAGAGTTAAATTTTCAAGAGCTTAACTTTTAAAGATGAAAGTATAGTATTAAGGTTTTTACTTTCAAAAATGTACATCCCACTTATCCCACATTGCCTAACACTAGAGGCTTAAAACAATTATCAGTAAAAATAAAACAATGAAAAATAAAACAAAGCAGCAGAAAAATTACTAAAAAGAACAGTAGGAGGTCTCAGCCAGCCTTCCTGGAAAAACTCTGTTCTTCAGCACAATCTACTCAGAAGTACAGTAATACCTCCGGTTGCAAACTGTCCTCCTTGCAAACTCTTTAGATTACGAGCTCTGCTAACCCAGAAGTAGCTGCTCCCAGAAGCAAACTTTGCCCTGGGATGCAAGTGGAAATCGCACGCCAGAGGCGCACGCAAAGCAGAAGGCCCCATTCGTGAAAGCATGCCTCAGGATAAGAATGGTTTCTGGTTACGAATGGATCTCCAGAACGAATTAAGTTCATAACAGAAGGTACCACTGTATATCCTACAATGGAAGGCACACTCTTCCATTATATCCCAAGACAGATGGATGCCAACCAACTCCCAGGTAAGTGGGTTTAGAACTGCAGCCTCAACAAGCTAGCAAAATGTAAAAAGTGATGAGACCAGACAGGTTTCTCTAAGGAGGACAGTTGAAAGGCCTGAAACAACTGGCAACTGCTTCTTGTATTAACTATACAGTGTTATTAGAATATTATGTAACATTATGCAAGAATTAATATTTGAATCTGCTTATTTTCTTATTCCTTCTCCATTCCCCCACCCCACTTTTTGAATCACAACTATTAGATTTAATGCTCTGTTCTAAACTGTAAACCACCTTGAGTACATTGCTCCAAAGGCAGCATGTAGTAAAGGAAGCAGTCTAGACCAGGCTTCCTCAAACTCGGCCCTCCAGGTGGTTTGAGACTACAATTCCCATCATCCCTGACCACTGCTCCTGCTAGCTAGGGATCATGGGAGTTGTAGGCTAAAAAAAGATCTGGAGGGCCGGGTTTGAGGAAGCCTAGTCTAGACCTAGAGATTATTCCACTGACACGAGTTCTGAAAGTGGCTTGCTTCAAAGTAACATATGTTTATAAACAGATATTACCTGTTTTGAAATGCCTAAAAGATACAGAATTTCAAAAGCCCTAAACTGTCTAGAACCAGGATACCTGCCTAGTCCCTAGAACAGTAGTGGCAGCTGATAACTACTCGGCTATTTTCTAGATCTTGTTACTAACATATAAAGTTAAATCCTGAACAGCTTTGGGCCAAGTTCCCTTAAAGATCATTTGCCCCTATACAGTGGTACCTCGGGTTACAGACGCTTCAGGTTACAGACTCCACTAACCCAGAAATAGAACCTCGGGTTAAGAACTTTGCTTCAGGATGAGAACAGAAATCGTGCAGCAGCAGGCCCCATTAGCTAAAGTGGTGCTTCAGGTTAAGAACAGTTTCAGGTTAAGAATGGACCTCCGGAATGAACACCTGGCTTGGGAGCAGTACATGTGAAAAGGATCTAGGAGTCTTGGTTGACCACAAACTTGACATGAGCCAACAGTGTGACGCGGCAGCTAAAAAAGCCAATGCAATTCTGGGCTGCATCAATAGGAGTATAGCATCTAGATCAAGGGAAGTAATAGTGCCACTGTATTCTGCTCTGGTCAGACCTCACCTGGAGTACTGTGTCCAGTTCTGGGCACCACAGTTCAAGAAGGACACTGACAAACTGGAACGTGTCCAGAGGAGGGCAACCAAAATGGTCAAAGGCCTGGAAACGATGCCTTATGAGGAACGGCTAAGGGAGCTGGGCATGTTTAGCCTGGAGAAGAGGAGGTTAAGGGGTGATATGATAGCCATGTTCAAATATATAAAAGGATGTCATACAGAGGAGGGAGAAAGGTTGTTTTCTGCTGCTCCAGAGAAGCGGACACGGAGCAATGGATCCAAACTACAAGAAAGAAGATTCCACCTAAACATTAGGAAGAACTTCCTGACAGTAAGAGCTGTTCGACAGTGGAATTTGCTGCCAAGGAGTGTGGTGGAGTCTCCTTCTTTGGAGGTCTTTAAGCAGAGGCTTGACAACCATATGTCAGGAGTGCTCTGATGGGGTTTCCTGCTTGGCAGGGGGTTGGACTCGATGGCCCTTGTGGTCTATTCCAAATCTATGATTCTATGAAGTTCTTAACCCGAGGTACCACTGTACTGTATATGACCTGTAAATTCACTTAGATGATCTGGGGAATTATTATTCTTGGCAACGCGCCCAACAGACTTTAACAAGGTGGTGACCCAAGAGCAGACATTTTCCATCATTGCCCTTACACTCTCTGGAATGTCTTTCCTTTTGCCATCATATACAAAGTGTAATCTTGCATCCTGTTACTACTGAATTACTGTTTTTATGATATTGTTTTTATGTCATATTTCTGTATACAGTTGGGAGAGCTTAAAATATTAAAGTGATTCATAAATGCTTTAAAATAAACAAGCAGAGGACAAAATAATTAGGTTGTCTGCTACTTTTTGTTCTAAATTTAATGTATTTTTGATTGTATTTTTACTATTTGATGAATTTGGGTTTGCTGTGATTTTACTGTATGGAACAGATTTGTAGCCATATTGTAGCCATTTAGTGGAATGACAGGATATACATTTTGAATAGCCTTTTTAGCTTTTGAAACAACTCCCTAGTTCCAATATCCTACCGTTACAGTCAAGTCTAAATACACATATTAGTGAACTAATATACTTTACACTTACAGCTGCCTCTACTGTATTTCTCTCTCCTACCTCTGTAATTTCCTTTGTGTGTGTTTTCAGATTGTAAGCCCCTTGGGTTATAGACCTGCCACCTCATGTTTTAGATCAGACCTTTCCAAACTGTGTGTCACAACACATTGGTGCGTTGGCTGCAGTGTGTAGGTATGTTGCACAAATGTTCCCCGTGCTCCTCCTGGGGCTGGAAAGGGTTTAGTAGTTTAACCTCTGGTTTGCTAATTGAACTGAATTACTGTGTGACGTAATAATGCATGTCTAAGAAGTGTGTCACCAAATGAAAAGTTTGTTTTAGATGGTGCTATAATAATTGCTATTATTTATCAGCAATGCACTATGATTATTTTAAAATGTATCAGCAAAATAACACATTTGCCAAAGCAACTGAAGTGTAATCTATTCTCAGCAAATAATACCTATTTTCTCTTTTATCATAAATGGAAGGTGAATATTTGTACAGTAGTTTCATTTGAAGGTCCTGCAGGACATAAGCTGGTTCCTAGATTGCAGGGGTTTGGAGTAGTTGACCCTTTGGGTCCGTTCCAACTCTACAATTCTATAATTCTAAACACCCATAAGATGTTGTACAAAGGTGCAGATTTACATAGGTATGGGGGCATGCTTTTCCTGAATGCAGCAGAGGCAGACTTTCACCCAGTGTAACTTGGGTGTGATTTGTTCCTGTTTGCCAATATAGCTATCCCACAGAAGGTGCCATTCTTGGCTCAGCTTCGCTATTAAAAGTGTGTCAAACATCAGTCTGGGCTTAACTGGTTGGCATTCATCTGTCTCAGGAGACAATGGAGAAGTGAGCTTTTGCGGGTGAGGTCAAACTCTTGCAAGATTGCAGTGTCTGATGCGGGAGAGACATGTTTTGTTGCAGCTGGGGCAGATGAAGGCGTCCAGTTGTGCTGCTGCAGATGGAGATGCACCACAGAGTTTCTTCTCTCTCCGCTCCTCCCAGCCGTCATTTCTCCCCCTTACTATGGATACATGACTTAGGCTGCCTGTCTCCAGGCACTGCAGTCCTCTGCAAGGGATTCCCTCATGGCAAGGTCGATGCTTCCGGCCTCCATGTCACCTTTGCAGCCATCTTTGTACCTCAGAGATGGTCTGCCAAGTGGCCTGGTGCCAGAAGCCAGCTCCCCGCAGAGCACGTCTATGGGGACCCTGCTATCTTCCATTTTGTCGACCTGCCTAGGCCAGCGCATTTGTCTAATAGGTTTCAGCGCTGGGATGTTTTCAGTGCCAGGACCTAGCCCTGGAAAATGCAAATGCATATGAACAATAGAAGGCTGCGGCCCTCGAGTTACCTCACAGCTCGCTCTCACGAAGTTCGGGGGCCTGAGCACGCCAGTACCTTCCTACTGTAGTGAAAACATACCCGCAGCGAAATCCCGAAATCCGCAACAGCCTGCGAATTAGGCACAGTAGCCGCTTTAGAAGGCACGTCGCTGGGCTCAAATGGAAATGAAGCCCCGCAAGCGCAGACTTGGTGTGCCGTCCCCCCCGCCTTTGACTTTCGCATTTTAAAAAGCGGTGGGCTACGCGCTGCAGCGCTTGCCTCGCCCTCCCTGCTCCCTCCTTCCGCACCTGAGGAAAGGGCGGCGTAGCGAGCGGCGAGCTCCCCTTCGAGCGCCTTCCCCCGCCCGCCCCCCGGCCGCATTCCGGGCACACACACCATGTGAAGCATGTCGGCGGCCTGGGGCTGCACTTCGGAGCGAAGCCTATTGTGGATGTCGACGTACTGACCGATAAAGGTCTTGTTGGTAATTCCGGGGTAAGTCTGCGGCCGAAACCTCTTCCTCCCGCGCGCGCCGTCGAGGGCGACGAGCCCAAGCAGCACCCACGGCCACAGCCTAGGCATGGCGGCAGCGGCAGCGCCCTCGCACGTCGGAAGCGCCAGTCCGGCGTGCGTGCGTGCGTGTGCGCATGCGCGGCTCCTCTCCTTCAACGGTCGGCGCGCGAGGTCTGCTGCACGCTTCATCCGAAGTCGACCCCATTGCGTTCTGCGGGGCTTATTTCTAACCGCCTGGTGTACAGTGCAGGATTTAACCTTACTCTGTTCTCTGATCTTTCGTTGTTCCTCAGCTTCCAGGGTTTATCTCTCGCGAGCTTTGGCTCAAATCAAGCCCTAGCCTGCCCCGCTCTTCACGCGTGTTGGTCTGATGCTGTGCGCGTGTCTGCAGCTCCGTTCAATTCAAAGGGAATTTCTCCTAGAATTGCCTCCAACTCATCGCTGCCGTGCACTGCCATTCTAACCGAGTTTACTCTTCCGGAGTAAGATGGTGGTTGTTCCAAGTGTCCTGTGGCTGGCAGTCTGTTGCTCCTAGCGTCTGAACAGTGGTGCAGGATCTAAACCACGCATGGCTGTCAACGTTTCCCTTTTTTTAAGGGAAATTCCCTTTTTCCGAATAGGATTCCTCTCAAGAAAAGGGAAAAGTTGACAGCTATGAAACCACGGTGTTCCTTTTGTCCGGTACGCTGCCTTTGAGACCTCATGGTCAGCCCTGGAGGCACTGAAAGCAACGGGCAGAGCACTCAAGAAACTGAAGTCGATAGCAGAAGCAATGGTGGTGGTGCTGTTGCTTCCCATCGGCTCCACTGGGCCATTTCAAACGCCATTGGGAAAGGGAGAGAAGGAGATGAGTTCAGCAATGAAGCTCACCAAGAGAGAACAACACAGGAATGTTACTGGCTTACTGGCACCAGACCAGCCAGAGACTGATTTGAGGAGGGAATTGGTTACACTGAAGGAGGTAATGGCCTCCTCCTGGGATTGGGGCATTGGAAGATAGTAGTTCTTTCTGCATCAGAGCACAGATGGGAACTGTAAGATACATGTTAGTTAATAAAATCTCTTTTCCAGATAGGCTTGGCTTTTTTATTGTGGAAGTTCCCCTGAAGTTCTGGGGGGCGGGCGGGGGAAGGCGCTCGAAGGGGAGCTCGCCGCTCGCTATGCCACCCTTTCCTCAGGTGCGGATGGAGGGAGCAGGGAGGGCGAGGCAAGTGCTGCAGCGCGTAGCCCACCGCTTTTTAAAATGCGAAAGTCAAAGGCGGCGGGGGGGACGGACGGACACACCAAGTCTGCACTTGCTGGGCTTCATTTCCATTTGAGCCCAGCGACGTGCCTTCTAAAGATAGGGACAGAGGGACAGTGGCAGGCAAGTGGGGGGAGGCAATCTTATTAACAATGACACCATTCTGTCTTTTCTTTTTCTTTTCAGCACAAATCCATTCCTTTGAATATTCACTGTGTTCACTTTGCTTACAGTGCAATCCCAGCCCCCAGATACACCATTTGAGATGGCCCCAGAGTATCTTCTTACACTGACTGGGGGAAAGCCCAGTTGGTGTAAATTAAGCCAGTGTAAATAACATTGGCATAGGCAAAAAAAGGGCCTTAGCAAAGGTGGGGAGTGAGGGCCAAACAAAGTTGCACTGCTTCTGAACTCCCTGAGTTCACTGGTCTCGTCTACACAGCTTGATATAAAATACACCACCAGGTTTAACTAAATTCACTACAGGAGTAAATAGAAGGGTAGAAGATGAAAGTTCACCTTGCCTCCCTGGCCACATACATTCTGGTCAGAAGCAGTTAGGATGCAGCTGAACATACACAGGAGATACACTAGCAAATCTACCTAGTAAGGATTGCTCTGTAAAGCTGCAGTTTATACACAATTACTTGAGAGTAAATCTTGATTAAGTTAGCACAACTCACATCTGAGTAAACACATGGACACGGAGGCTCATTTTCTGGCTGTAGTTGTAAGATGGGTTCATAGAAAGGATATAGTCATATGCACAGTTTCCTGATACATGAGCAGGTTGTAGTATCTCTGAAGCCTTAATTTTCCCCAGACATAGGACATAAGGCTGGTATTCATGTAAAAACTGTAGACGATTCTCTGCGATATAGATGGCTAATCTTAGGCTAATCACACACACTAAACCTCATAAAGAGAGAAATGAAGGGCTCTTTCAAACTGTTGCTATTTTTGAGTGGGATCTAATCACATACCAGAAAATTCAGGTTAGGTGATTAAAGTTGATTTGATGGTCTTCCCAGCAAATCAACTTTAATCACCTAACCTTTGTGATAAATAAAGGAATGACACGGGACAGTGCAGTGGAAAGTGCTCACAGGATAAGAACGTAAAAAGTTGGGAAAAACTTTATATGGAACATGTTAAGCCAGATGGACCACTTTGTGACATTGTATCACATCAATATTCATTCATTCATTCATTGCATCCTGTTAATCATGCAAAATAAATAATACAATAAATAAATAAACTTCTTTTAATATGCTTAGCCTTTATTTTCACTTAATGTTGAACATGGCATACTAGATATGGCCATGGATAGCATTCAGCTAAGTTTTACTCAGAATAAATCCATTAAAATTAATGAAACTAACTTAATCATGTTCATTAACTTAAATGAGTCTACTCTGAGTAAAACACAGTTGAACACCACCCCATATATTCTACTTACACTAATGTATTCTAGTTTTAAAAGTATTTACAACTCATTAATATGCAACAAGTAACTTTACAAGTTCAGAAAAATTGAAGTATCGTAGAAACAAACCAAATCTACTTTTAAAATATAGAATGCAGGAAAATATTCTTATAAATATTATTGTTAGTTATATTCAAGTTATATACGCCTATCAAAAATTATGCTTTATAACCTAAACCTGGATAACGGAGTTTTAAGTAATAAACAGCTGCAAAAGCTAGAAACATTAATAACGGTCTTAAAATTGCAACTGCAATGCAGGATTCATCACATATAATCCGGGATTCAAAGGGTGGATACCATCGTGAATAGCCTATTTTAAAAAAGATAAAAGCATTCTTATGAAATGTGAGTTTTGTTCTTGAAGTAAATTTAAACTATAATACAGATATATAATACATACGTAGGCTGTTTTCTTTCTCACGTTCAGGATTTCCTGGAAGAGAGAATAGTTATAACAAATGAAGAAAGGCTTTAAAATAGGATAACTGTAATGCACTTGTTCTGCAAATGCCTTTGAAGACTATTGAAGACTGTTCAGAAACTGAAGCTACTTCAGAATTCAGCAGCCTGATTATTGGTAGGCCTAAGACAAACCAGTCATATAACACTGGTTCTGACAGGGCCACATTGGCTACCTTACGTTTTGAAGCTCAATTTATACTGTTGGCTTTGACCTGTAACTGCTTAGGACCCCAAATGGCAGAAGGAGTCTGGGCCCTGTCCTGGAGAAGCACTACCACTGCCAAGGACCCATGCAATTGGTAAAGGACAACTGGCCCCACACAAGGAGAGACTAGCTTTGCCCTGATCACCTTTCCTCAGCACTACATAACTGGACTGACCTGCTGCCTACCTCCCATGGAAAGGACTCACATGCCTTTGCACATGACTTTTGTCTTCTGGGTTTCTGCTGTTGTTATTCTGTCTCTCACAGCTACAATAAACCTACCATTAAAATTATGGACTCGTCATTTCTTCGTCAGAGGGCAAACTTAGCAGGGGATCAAATACTTTCCCCCCTCACTGTATGTGATGGTTGATATCATCATCTTTTCCATGACTGTTTGCATCATTTAATTCTATACTTACTGCAGAGTTTCTTTTGACAAGTGTCTCCTTTTGGGCACTGGCTACATGGAGCTCCCGCTTTATAAGGACGAACTCCCGCGTAGTTGCCCCTAAAGAACAAAATATTGCATAACGTTATGTATTCAGTACACAAAGTGCACAAAACTAAAAATGAAAATGCAAGCTACTGGATATGTAATAATAGGTTTTAGATGTAATGAATCAGTTGTCTAGGTCTGGGGGCTAAATGCAGACCTCCAGGCCTATCTGGTACTTGGAACTCCCCCAGCGTTGCATTCTCTCTTCTTACCAGCCCTGCACTGCACTCTCGAATGTTTTTGCCTGTCTGTAATGTGTTCATGAACTATGATCATGCTTCTTATTTATCTGGATGGTGAAGGGTGGGTGTGTACAGAGCACAGAAATCTGACTTTTGTTATGGATGGAAGCCTGTGGCACAAAGGTCACATCCATTCTTCTTCCTATTTCCTAGTTGCCCCTGAAAAACAGTTTCAGGATGTAATAATGTATTCAGTACATAAATTAAACTGAAGATCAAAATGTTTTGTGCTTTCTATTGGTTCCAGCAAGTTGCAAATCATTCCAGGTGCTATTATCCAGGCAATGCTAGTCTGTGTATCATCATGATAATCCACGGAACTGACCTTGTACAGTGGTACCTCGGGTTACAGACGCTTCAGGTTACAGGCTCCGCTAACCCAGAAATAGTACCTTGGGTTAAGAACTTTGCTTCAGGATGAGAACAGAAATTGTGTGGTGTCGGCACGGCATCAGCGGGAGGCCCCATTAACTAAAGTGGTACCTCAGTTAAGAACAGTTTCAGGTTAAGAACGGACCTCCAGAACAAATAAAGTTCTTAACCCGAGGTACCACTGTACTGGTATTTTATGCCCTGCAGCTACCTGACCCCTGTAATTATTTGTTTTCAAATTAATATTATTTATACAGTGGTACGTCTGGATATGAACTTAATTCGTTCCGGAGGTCCGTTCTTATCCTGAAACTGTTCTTAACATGAGGCTCCATTAGTGACAGTGTGTCTCCTGCGTGCGCACGTGCGCCTCTGGTACACAATTTCCACTCGCATCCCGGGGCAAAGTTCGCATCCAGAAGCAACTACTTCCAGATTAGCACAGCTCGTAACCCGACGAGTGCGCAACCAGAAGCGTTCGTATCCAGAGGTACCACTGTATTTCTATTAACTGGAGAACATTTACTTTCTATGTTACTAACAAACAATATTTTGTATATAGAAGCGTTTGTTTAGGGAATCACAGAGCCGTAGCTAGGTGATCTTGCGCC